ATTTTCTTTGTACTTGAGCCCTTGGTATCAGCTTCTCATTTACTTTTCCCTCCCTCCCAGCCTTATGGAAAGTATTTTAAAATTATCTTCAAGTCCTCTTAACTTTCAGCAAGCAGCGTTGTGTCCTCTGCATGTCTCGGGTTTTCAATGAGCCTTCCTTCAACCCTGCTCCCGAGTTCTTCTTCATACACTCCAGCTTCTCGGATCATATACTCAGCAGACGGATTGAAGAAAGGCTGCAACTCTGATGCGCACTGAGTTACACCTCGGCTTGTCCTTTTTTTTCCCTTTCCTTTCAATGGTTGCCTATTGGCCTACGTTCAGTTCCACATGAGCATAAGTAAGTGTTCTGGAGTTCCCATTTTCCCAGTGTTATTCATAATTTGTTTTGACCCACATTACTGAATGGCTTTCCATAGTCCACAAAACACAAGCATCTTTCTGGTCTCCGCTTCCAGCCAAGATCCAGCTGACGTCAGCACTGATCTCCCTCATTCCAGGTCCTCTCCTGAATCCAACCGGAGTCTCTGGCAGGTCCGTGTTGATGTACTTATGCAACCATTTAAAAATTCTCGTCAGCAAAATTTTCCTTGCATGTGATATTGATGATATTGTTTGATAAATTTTGTATTCTGTTGGATCACCTTTCTTTGGAATGGGCAAAAATAGGGACCTCTCTTCCATCCCGTTGGCAGGTTATTGTCTTCTAAGTTTCTTAGAACAGACTTGTGAGTGTTTCTGTCGGTGCATCAATTTTTGGAAACATTTCAATCGCCGTTCAGTCAATTCCTGGAGTGATTTTTTCCCCTCATGCTTTCAGTGGAGCTTGAACATTTTACTTCAGTACCATCCATTCCTGCACATATGCTCCTGAAAGGACTGAAGGCTGACCACGACACCAATGTTCGGTATGGAGACTCCGTGGATTCCTTCCATCTGCTTTTGACGCTGCCTGCGTCGTTCGGTAGTTTGCCCATAGAACCCTTCACTCAGGGGGCTCAAGGCTTCATTGTCCCCTTCAGTCCCTTCAGCTTGAGAAATGCGGAGCATGTCCTTCCCTTTAGGTCTTTGCACGTGTCATTTTAATGCTTTACTTTGTCTTCTTGACCCTGCCTTTGAAGTCTTCTGTTCAGCAATCTTACATCATTTCTTCAGCTTCTCTGCATTACCGAGCAAGTGTCAAGAGTCTCTTCTGACATTCAGGCTGTCTTTCTTTCTTTCTTTCTTGTCTTTTTAATGACTGTGTGTGTGTGTGTGTGTGTGATGTCCTTGATGCCATCTCACAACTCGTTTGGTCTTTGGTCATTAGTGTTAAATGTGTTGGATCGATTCTTGAGATGGTGAGTTGTTCAGGTGGAACTTGCATATGAGCAATTGATGATCTGTCCAACAGTCGGCCCCTGGTCGGTCTCGTTCCGACTGATGATATTGAGCTTCCCCACTGTCTCTCTCCACAGATGGAGTTGATTTGATTCCCATATCATCTATCTGGTCTATGTGGACAGTCTCTGTTTATATTGTTGACAAGAAGTATTTGCAATGAATGTCATTAGTCTTATCAATTCTGTCATGTGATCACCAGGGTCAGTTCCATTAGCAAGGCCATATTTTGTCTATTGAACCTTCTTTATTTCCAACCTTATCTTTCCAATAATCAGTAAGTGTGCATCTGGATAGCCTGTTTGATCAATTTCAGACAGCAGACATTGGTAGAAATCTTCCATGTCTCCATCTTGGGCTTTGTGTGTGTTTGAATAGTAGCCCTTAGTAAAATAATGACACACATCATAAAATTAGCACATATTTCCTTCATGAAAGTTCTTTTAACTTCCTTGGGTATGTCCTTTTACTGACAATGTTGTACTTCGGGATAGATCTCAACATATCCTTTCTGACAGGAATATAGCGCCATTCTGCTTCAATCTGTCATTCCTGACACGGTAGACCATGCACCCGCCCAATTCAACATGGCCAATACCAGCCCACTTCTGCTCACCAAGGCCTGTGTGCGATCCATTTCACTTGTGATGACTTCCAACGTGTCTAGATTCATGCCTCGCCCACTCCAGATTCTGATGACAACCGGATGTTTTCCACTGCACCTCCCCTTTGGAGCCAGGCCCTCTCAGCAGAGGAAGGTCCTGGGAGCTTTGCTCCATCAGAGTCAAGAGGTCTAGCTCCTTCGAAGAGGCAGCTCCTCCTCAGTTAGGCGTATTTATTTATTTATTTTTAGTTTTCTCAGTTAGGCTCTGGGCGCCTTCTGCCACGCCAAGGGGCTCCCTGTCCAGCACCATGTCAGGCAGCGTTCCACAGCTGCGCTGGGGGTTTTCACTAGCCACTTCTCTCAGAAGTTCGGTGACCACGTCCTTCCTCCTAGTCTGCCTGAGGCTGTCAGTTCAGCTGATACAGGTGACCTTGTGGCCGTTTGCCACGTCAGAGGCATCACGGAAACATGCGAGCCAACGGCACACTGAGCGGCAAAAGGGGGGACGGCCAGGAAGGGAGCTGGAAATTCACTCAGGGGGTCAAGGGAGGGCTCAGGCTGGAGACATAATGTGGGCACCCGCTCATGCAGACGAGACAGAAGAGAGGCCAGCAGGGCCCAGGATGGAGCTGGGGTGGGGGTGGGGGCAGCCAACAGTTAGGGGTCCAGCGGGAGCGGGGGCGTGGGGTGGGGGGTGGGGAGGATCCGGCAAAGTCAGGTGGTAGGAAGGAGACGGAGGAGGAGGCGGTGCCCTGGCAACTCAGGCTGCTGAGTGGAAAATAACTGGACCTTGGAACCATCATAGACCTTGGCCACTCTGGGACGGCTGCTTGGCAAGGGCTGTCTCTTGGAGCCTGCCTGCAGTAGGTGCCCCCCCATCCCCCCCCAAATAATCAACTGCTGTTGTGTCCCTTCCAGCTTTAGTAACCCTATAGGGTAGAATCAGAGAACGACAAGGCTTTCTACTCCCGTGAACAGTTACAGTCTCGGAACCCCGCAGGCGTAGTTCTACCCTGTCCTATAGGGTGGGAAGAGTGGGCATCGACTGGCTGGTAGTGAGTGTGGAGTTTGAATAGGGGAGAATAGGACTGTCCCTGTGGGTTTCTAAGGTTCTACATGTTCACAGAAGCTGATCTTTCTCCCTCAGAGCGGCTAGGTGGGTTGGAACCATCCACCTTTTGGTTAGCCGCTAAATTTTCTTTACCCGCTCAAACTCTACAAAAACTCACTGCCATCCAGCCTCATAGTGAACCTAGGGGCAGCCTAGCGCTGCCCCTGTGAGTTTCTGAGACTGTAATTGCTTACAGGAGTAGAAAGCCCTGTCTTTCTCTGAGAAGCAGCTGATGGTTTTGAACCGAGGACCTGGGTGCTGACAGCCCAAGGCACAACCACTATGCCACAGGAGCTACAGCTCTTTAACCCCAGGGCCACTAGAATTGTTGTTTGGAGTTGGGGACTCCAAACAGGGGAGAAAAGGTGGAGAAGTCTGTGCCGCTCTTTCTGGCAGTCTGGGGAATAGAGGGGGGGAGCCGCTGGAGAAGAGGAGGGGTACAGAGAAGGGACTGGGGGTCGTTATTGCTGCTTGTTTGCCTGTCTAACCCAGGACTTGGCGGTGTCGGTGAGAATATAAACATCCAAACATGCCCCAAGGCAGCAGTTTGTGTGTTCAATTCAGTGGCATTAATTCCATTCTTGGAGCTGTGCACCCCTCCCCACCTTCCTGGAAAAGGAACTTCTATGAAGTCAATATACATGACTATTTATTAACGGCGTATCTTATTAGTCGTCCAAGCACCACGAGACAGTCGGCAGAACATAGACATGCTCAGTCATAACCTTGCTTGGCTGCCTCTGATAGGTTGCCGACCATCTGCCCGGTCAAAGCCATAGCTTTCCCCTTGACCTGAATTTTGACTTTGTTGCTGTTGAGAAAACACAGTGAAACAAAACCAACCAGTGCGGCCGTTTCTTCTCGAGCAGTGTAGTGACGCTGACTGCATTCTTCCAGGTGGGCAACCGTTCTCACCTCCTTCTCTGAGCTGTTCATCCCTCATTAACTGGACCCACTGCCCCCGAAGGTTCCTGTCTGATCTCTCAAGTGGCTGCTGTGGATTTGATCGCACACAGACGGCTCTTCAAAGAGCACAGGCAAAGGCAGACAGCATTTGTTAGTTAAACTAAACTATTGTTAGTTTTAAGGTTTGCAGCTTATTTCAAGCCAATCGTTTTAGGGGATCATCCCACTTTCATGGCTTGAGAAAGGTTAGAGCCCATGAGGACTTGAAATTCTGTTCTCCACCTCCCCCCTTTCAGAATGAACTATCTGCTCAAAATGTTCAGACGTGGTAGCTGGCTGGGTACCATCCACTTCCCCTGGTCTCATGGCAAGAGGAAGCATTTGTTTACAGAGGCAATGAACCACACATTCCATAGCTGCCGGCTATTCCTGACAGGAAGGAGGTTTTTAGAAGATGGGAGATGTTTGGGCTTTTAGGATGCTGAAGGCCTGGCCCCATGGTGAGGGGACTTGTGGAGGCAGGAGGCAGGAGAAAGAATGCAGCAGAGAGAAACACTGATCTGATGGCCCAGCCGAGGAGCAGAGCCCTTGGTTGGTGGAGGGGCAGAGAGTGGGTCCAGCTCCCGTGCAGACGAGCTTAGATGGATGAGAGTGAGGGCAGCTCTTCCTCCGTTGCCGGAGGGCAAGGAGAGAATGTGGTACACAGACTGATGAGTTGTGGGAAGAGCAGGGGATTGCATTGAAGGCTTCTGGATCGCCAGGGATTGGAGAGACGCCAGCAGCAGGGTGTGGGGAAGTAGGATGCTGCTGTTGCAGGGTCCAGAAGGTAAACTAGTTAGTTACCTTCTAATCCATGCTGACCTCATGCCTGTCAACAGCTGCTTGCCAGATTCTGTTGGTGAGGAGACTCTGGGTGGGCTTGAACCTCCGAACTTTCAGTTAGCAGCTCAGCTTCTTAAGCAGTACACCACAGAGGGACCTGAGCAGGAAAGGCGGAGTGAAGCAGATACCCTGATGAGAAGCAAACCAGCTTAGCCTGAGGCCAAGGACTTTCTCCAACAACTTCCAGCTCCTGGGATCTAGTCTCAGATGGGGAGAGGGTTAGAGACAACTGGGGCTAGAATTCAAGGCATGTTTGCCAGAGAAAGCGCACAGCAGGGGTCAGGGAGTCCTAGCTGGGCAAGGACAGTGGAGCGATGGGCAAAGGAGTAGGAGCGAGATCTCGGAGGACCTCAGTAAGGTAAAAAATGTTGGAATATGAAAAAAAAAAGTTGGAATATGGGTTTAGAACAAGTGAAAAATGGAGTAAAAATAAAATGGTCACTGCAGGAGCTGAAACAAAAGCCCTTTTCCCAGTCGCCAGAGGTGGCCATCACTGGAATGTCCCAGGCACCAGGCGACCGACTGGGAGCACATGCTGTGGCAGGCACGTGTCTTGCAGTAGCATGCAGCTGGACAGAGGCCTGATGCAGGCCTCCCTGCGGGTGCACCTCAGAAACCCGAGCAAAAGACCAGTCAGGAGCCATGCTTCCCGGCCTCACTCCTGGGGGCTAAGCAAATGGATAGAAACCAGTGAGGGGCCTTAGCCAGGGGAGGGGGAGGCAGGAGAGGGGGAGACTGCATGAAGAGGGGTGGGATGTTCCGGGAAAGGAGAGCCATGGGTGTTCAATGTGAAAACGTGGGCAGCGCCAAACGGTCACTGTGGGAAGCGCGGTCCTGGCTGATGTTTTGGTATCCATGTGCGCGCGTGCGCGTGGGGGCGGACAGCGCAGTTCCTGCAGAGAGCACCAGGTAGGGGTGCTGCTGTGGACTCGGGTCTCTCAGATAACGTCACAGGGCTGAACTTTTGTAAATTCCTCCTGTCGTTTTATTTCCAGATCTGTTCACAAGTGCCCACAAGGACTGCCCCATGCCCCAGGGTACCGACCCCCTGAACCCAGATCGGCCCTCCAGCCACCCGGCCTCCGTCTCTCCAGACAATGTCACTGGCAAGGTAAGGAGTCACTCTTCACCTCTGGCTCCTGACCCATCCCTACAGCCCCCCACCCCCCGTCGGGAGGAGACCATCCTTCCTTCCTGCCAAACTTGGCCACTTCCTGGGCGGTCAGGACCCAAAGGCATCCAAATAGGGCTGAGGGCTGAATTAAACGGGATCCAGCTTGTTCGGAAAAGAGCCCTGCAAGCCCTGCCCTGAAGGTCTTCATCACTCAAAATGTGCTGATAGCAACTTCTGCTCAGTGGCCACAGCTCCTCCGCAGCCTGCATTGCTGCAAGCATGGGATTCTCAAGTCTGTAAGGATTAGGAAGCTCTTGCTCAGGGGCTCCAAATCCTGGGGCATACATGCAGCCCTTGCCTTAGAGGTTGGCTTGAACCCACAGTGGGTATAATTGTCCCCTCCCTTTCTTGTGCGCATATACCACACGGTAAACACTGTGCTGGGAACTGTACCTGTGTCATGCTCTGTCTGGCTTCTTCAGCTAAGCACAGATCCATCAGGCAAGTGGCTTGTTCCCACTTTACAGAGGGAGAAACTGAGATTCTAAGATGGAAAGTCACTAGCGTACAGAGACCAGGCTAGGAAATGGCAGACTGGAGCCCAGTCTGCTCGCCCCTGCACCCACTGCCTCTCCTGCTGGTGTGACATGGCCTTCCGCTGCCTTCTCCCTCTGCGTGGGACAAGAGGGCATGAGCCACCAGTCACTGAGCCCCTGAGGCTGGCCCGTACCCTGACCCAGGTCTTCAGAGCTCTGCCGACTGCAGGCCTAGGGTGCTGGGCCACCCCTGACCCTTGCTCTCTTCTTGTTTTAGGACAAACAGATGGATTTCTGTTGGGACCCTTGGCAGGTAGGTCAGTGGACTTGCCTGTGCCACAGCCTAGACAGCCAGAGCTGGCACGGCTGCCTGTCTCTGTGCCATTTCTCACCCTGGGAAGGGGAGCAGATGGAGGGGCTGGGGCTGGGCCTGTGGGTGCTGGGAGGACCGCTCTGGTTTTCCCTGCCCCGTACCTCCCCAGTGCCTGGTAATAGGGGTGATCTTGGTGCATGTGGGGTCATGGAGTGGGTCTACCCTACCCTCTCATCTCCCCCTCCCCCACAGAGGTGCTTCCAGACCACCCACGGCTACCTGTCTGACTCCAGGTCCTGCTCCAGCAACTACAACGTGGCCGCTCTGGCCACTTCATCCCTCGTGGGTGAGTTCCAGCTGCCTTTCTCTTGCCCTCAGGGTAGACTGGTCACCCTGGACCCCAGGGACAGTGGGGCCTCCCCGGTAGATTTCACCCCATTCTTGTGGGATACCCAGGTTAACTCCTGGTTGGTGCACCTTCTAACACCCACCCATCTGTCAGTGGTGGCTGATACCGAACAGGTTTCAAGGGAGCTTTTAGACTAAGAAGGACTAGGAAGAAAGGCCTGGTGACCTACTTCTGAAACAGAGCAAAGGAAAGTCCTCTGTATCACGTGTCCGGTGTGTAACCCACCCTGGGGACGGGCTGCGCAGGAGCGGCCCTCTGTGTTTCCTTCCGCTACGCTGGGCGCTGCCATGAGTGTGGCGGAGCAGTCGCCAGCCCGTTCCCAGTCCCCTGGCGCCCAGCTGTGGAGGGGCAGAGCTGGCTCCCTGCCACCAAGGGCAGCAGCCCTGTCGGAGCCCACATGTCTTGAAAATCCTGCTCCAAGCTGGGCCTGGGGAGTATAGCGGTGCCCACGACTTCAATGTTGGGCAGCTCGGAAGGGGACGGTCCAGACTGCAGGTGTCCACTGGTGGGGTCCCCTGCTTCCATGAGCCTGTCAGGATGCGGAGTGGCATAGTGGGGCTGGTGCTTTCCTAGGGGGACCCTGGGGGAGGTGCAGGGGATGAGGGGACAGGAAGGTCTGAGCGCCTACTGAGCGCCGGCCCAGTTGCAAGAGAAGCCTGTCCTCTCTCAGCCTGGCCCCAGGGGGCGCTCCAGACCACACGTAGAATTCACGGTGGCTGTGGCACAGTGGTTTCCTGATTCGAAACCACCAGCCACAGAGAGAGACAGACAGAGGGAGAGGGGCTTTCTACGCCAGTAAAGAGTTACAGGCTTGAAAACCCACAGGGGTCGCTCTGAGTCAGCATTGACTCGATGGCAGTGAGCTTGGTTTTTTGGTTTGAATTTCTGTTAGCCCCCTGTCAGTCAGCCACTTGGAAACCTCCTGGGCAGGCTTCTCCAGGTGAGGCGGCTCCCATCAGCTAAGAGCCGCTCTCCTGAGAAGGGTGGTGATGGTGTTGGGTGCTGACTCACAGCGACGATGCTGAGCACCGCAAGGAAACAGCCCGGTCCTGGCCGTCCTCACAAGCGTTGCTTGCTGTGTTTGAGCACGCTGTGGGTGACACCCTGTCAATCCACTTCATGAGGGTCCGCCCAGCCGCCGCCTGCCGAGGCTGGGCCATGGGCACACAGACCAGCACTAGGTCTCTGGTCGCCCACAGCACAGCCTCCCAGTTCTCTGCCTGCCAGCCTTACCTTCCTTGGCTCCCAGCTCACCCTTGCTTGTGCAGTGGGCTCCCTCCTTTTTCACCCCTTTCCCCATTTCCCCCAAATTCCATCTCCTTCATTTTGCTCCTCCTTCTTAAATATCGCTGTTCTTCACGCCACCCTGGTGCAGGGACCCCAAGATTTGTGTCCACAGCCTGGGTTAAAGAAGGCCCTCCAGGCCATGGTCGACCTCTGGGCTAGTCCTGAGCATGCTCCATGTCCCCCTACCCCTCACTCATGCCGCATCGCTGCAATGGTGCCTAATGACCTTCCTGGACCTAATGATTCTGAGGTTCTTCCTAAATAGCAATTCTCACCCCTCACTCTCCCGCTGTGGCCCCCACTGCTGTACGGACACATCCCAAACCCTCAGCCTGGCTTCTCTCACCCCTGGTTGGTTCCCCATCTCTCCAGCCACCCTAGTCCTGGTGTTGCCCCATGCCTCACCACGAGTCATCCTGGAATCAGATTCTGCCATGCTTCTATCCTCTTTTCGTCCCTAAAGTAGCCTCCAGTGTTGCCTCTGTCTGCCCAACCCCAGTGCCCATCAAAGCCCACATCCAGGCCCACCTCTTCCAGGAAATCTTCCCTGCCTGCTCACTGCTCCATCAGATCCAGGCACAGGGGATGCCCTGCCAGAACTTGTTAATTCATGGGTCGTGGATCTCCTCAAGCAGAAGGGTCTGAACTTGGTCAAAGATGGGAGGACAGGCATCAGGGGGCCTGGGCAAGAAGCCCCTGGTGGACAGAGACACTGATGGGGAGCAGGGCCCCAGGGCACTGGGACACACGCATGGGCAGTGAAGCTCTGGTGAAGTGGGGTGACAGAGCTTGGGGGGGGGGGCTGTGGAATTACACAGGTGCAGGGCATCTATGGACGGGGATCTTTGAGTAGGCCTGAAAGACTGGGGACCTGGGAGGTTGGGGAAGGAACCCTAATGGTGTAGCGGTTATAAGTTGGGCTGCGTTCAGCAAGATCAGCAATTCAAAACCACCAGCAGCTCTTTGGAAGAAAGACAGGGTTTTCTGTTCCCGTAAAGAGCCTGGGAAACCCCAGGGCGGTTCTACCCTGTCCTACGGGGTCAGCATGAGTGGGTGCTAGCTTAACGGCAGTGAGTTTTCTTGGGGAAACCGGGGCGTAGGGCCCTGGGCTGGTCTTGTGTCTGACCCTCAGTGCCCCCAGGGGTGGTGCAGAGCATCAAGGATCACATCACAAAGCCCACAGCGATGGCCCGCGGCCGAGTGGCGCACCTCATCGAGTGGAAGGGCTGGAGTGCCCAGTGGTCGGGCTGGGAGCTGTCGTCCGTGGAAGATGAGCATTACTGTTGCCTCCCGGATGAGCTTCGCGAGGCCCGCTTCGCTGCAGGTCAGCAGGGGGTGGGCACAAGTGGGCTGCCCCGGGGAGGATGGGGCTACAAGTCCCAGGGGCCTCTGAGCTGGATGGCACTCTCCCCACAGGGGTGGCCGAGCAGTTTGCCATCACTGAGGCCACGCTGAGCGCCTGGTCCTCCCTGGATGATGAGGAGCTGTGCCCCGAGAGCAGCACGTGGGACACTGTCCACCTGCAGGGTACGGTGGGGTGGGGAGGGGTGGGCGGCAGAGCAAGGACAGCATGGCCCAGGGCGGCCCCGTGTACCCTCAGCCTGGTTTTTCCAACAGTGAAGCACGACTGGAGAGGCTTGCTGGGGGACTGGGGCTCTGGTGCCAGAGCCTTCTGGGTGCCGGGTGCTGTGCCAGGGGCTTCTCGGTGGGATGCCCCTACCTGCCACCACAGCGCTGTTCCCATCCCTATCTACATATCAGGAAAGTCACACAGCTAGAGCTGTCAACTGGGATCAGAGCCCTCTCGCCAGGACCCTCTGCCCCACCCACCAACGTTTTAGCAGAAACCCCGGCTTTGGTGAACCTTGGCCTGGGTGCTCCCTGTACTCCTCCAGCCCTGAGGGGTGAGCCAAGGCACACGCCCAGAGATGTCCCGGGTAACCATTTCTTACAGTTTTGAGGATCTGAGACCACCTAACTGCTGGGCTCGGGCTGCCCCGCCGCCTGTGGGCTCAGAGGGGTGCAGTGGCTTGCTCAGAGTCATCCAGCTTGGTGGTGACGGGCTCCTCTCCCCCCTCTGCCCCACCCCCCACCCCCGGTTGCTTTTCCAGACCTAGACAGCGTCTACGTGCAGGACAGCCTCCTGAGCCCCTCGCAGGAAGACAGCCTTCTGGCCTTCTCCTCCCCTGGACTCTCTCCCGATGGCTGGCCCTCCCCTGAGGAGCCCCCCACCACGGTGGCCTGCCCAAAGCCCCCCAGCCCCGAGCAGCAGCACCGGCGGCGGCTGCCTGGGGGCCCAGCTCAGGGCTCTCTGCCCTCGGTGGACAGCGGCTCCCTCGCTGAAGAGGAGGACGAGGTGTTCTATAACTGAGGCTGACACCCAGAACCGGGCCCAGTGAACCTCGGGGCAGGCATGGGGGCGGGGGTCCCTGCTCCCTGTGACCACTCTGGGCCACCATGGACCTGCCCCAGCACTAACAGTCACACCCCTCCTCCCCTTTCTTCTGCACCTGGCTCAGGTGGGCACCAGCCTCTGCCGGGGTTCCCACCATCAGTGAGCTCAAGGACTTGCAGAGTAGACACCAGAGCCACCCACCCCTGAGAGGCAGGCCAGCACCCCATGGGAGGGACTGGGAGGCCCGGTGAGCGGGGTCTTGGGATGCTGTCTTGACCATGGGTCTCAGTCCCTCCCCCACTCTCTGTCCTTCTGCCCCCATCACAGGTAACTAAGTGTCCCCTCCTCAGCTCCATAACCTCCCTCACTTTCTGAACCAGCTGCCTGGGTGCCCCCATGCGAAGGCGCCCACTCCTCCTACACCTTCCCCTCCCCCAACTCTCTTGAGGGTCTCTGAAGACATTAAACTGGTGGATTCATCCTTGGGTACTTGTTCTGTTCTTTACAGGGAAGGTTCATGTGTTTTCAGGCTGCTGGGTTTTCCAAAGGACTTAGAGGGACACATCCACTGGTCAGCCCACTGCCACCTAGCCTGGGGACACTCTGTGGAGGATGCTCAAGGCTCTGTTGCCTCCCCAAGGACCCCACAGGAGCCTTGCTCAGTCGGTCCTGGCTCAGCCAAGGTGAGGTGGAGGCTGGTGTGGAGGGGCTGGGCCACAGGGTCCCACTTATTCCGAAGGCCAAGTATCATGAGATCTAGTTGTGTGGGGCAGGGGGGCCACTGGCTGGGCCTTAACCCTAAGGCTCTATCTACCTCAACCTCCCTACCAAGAATCAGGAGACCAGGGTCCCAGGCCTGCAATGCACGTGGCCAGTAAGACCCCAAGAGCTCACTCAGGTATCAGAGCAGGTAAAGAGTCGAGGTGCCAAGTGGGACTAAGGCCCTGGGACTAAGATCAGGGGTCCACAGGGCTCTGGGGATCAGCTTTATTTTTCTCAGGGGTTTCTGGTTGGGCATCAGGAATTCCCACTGGCCTTTGGTGACAACACACACCAGCCTCTTCATTCAGCCGTTTGCTGAAGCTTCAGTGAGCACCCACTGGGTACTGACTTTTGGCTGTCAGCTCTCTGTCAGGGTGGACTTGTCCTTCAAGACATCTAATGGTTGTCCAGCGGATTGGGGTTAGCTGGGTGTTGCCTGTTTACTGAGGATTTGAGCTGGGCTCGGGGTACAGGGGCAGGCTGGAGTGGCAGGGACAGAGGCAAGGTCTCTGCCCAGCCTCAGCCACCGGGCAGCCGAGCATCCCATTTCAGCTGGCCAGGCAGCTCACTTTGGGGCTGGTGGGTTTGTCAGGTTAGAAATTGCTTTCTTCAACTAAAACAAAGAGAAAGGCATTTTTTGAGGGAGCGTAGAGCGAGCTAAGAGTAGAGGCCCTAGAGCTTCGTTTGACTCCCTCGGAGAGAGGCTCTGGGTTAAATGTAGAGCTAGTGTCTGCCCATGGCACAGGCGGGCTGCCTGTGACCCAGAGATTGGCTAGGTAGTAGAGGCCAAGCCCAGACGGCCAGTCTCGGGGCAGAGAGCACTCTCAGAAGTTCTGTCCCCACAGTTGGATAGAAGAGAGTGATGCCCTCCTCACCCACCCCACAGCCTGCTCAGACCCTTCGTACCTCCACCCAGGACACAAAGCCAACAGCCCTGCCCCGAGACGTCACAAACAGGGACGGGAGGTTCATCAGCTGGAAGAGGCTGTGTGCCTGCCGAGGGGTATGGAGAAGTGCTGGGGTGGTGTGTGGGGGATGCTCTTCACCCCACGAGGATTCCCATTCCATTCTCTCAAGGTTTCCCCGCCCTGGGGGCTTTGAGTAGAGGTGGAGAGCCCACCAGGTCTCTGCCCTGAGATGCCCACCTCTGTGTGGAACACTAGGGGCCAAGGCCTGCAGTGTCGGTCATGACCAGCAGGGGTCTCCAGAGTCCAGGCCAGTGGTCGGTGGGGTCTCAGAGGACCAGTCCTGTCACCCAGCATCCACAGGCCAGAGGGTCTGGGGCCACCCCTGGGTCTGCCTAGCCTGCTTCACACCCTGCCACCCCCACCCAAGCACGGAAGCACTTAACCTTCGAGATGGCTAGGTGATTTCCCAGAAGCACACAGGACTTCTATGGCCCTCACCCTTCTGCTTCCCAAGCCTTTGTGCCTCACCCCCCAGCCCTGGCAGCAGGAAGCGGGTGAAGCAAGTCCTGCAGGCCCTGCCGTGCCCATCTGTGGGTGTGGCCTGACAGCCAGGGAACCTGTTTCCCACCGGCTCTTCTCCACCGCAGGGCTTGAAGGCTCCCTATTACCTGGTGCAGGGAGGTCTCCGGGGACAGCTGCAGGGTCACAAGCTCCACGGGACAGCCCCCAGCCAGGATGTCCTGGAGACACCTCTGGAGGGAAGAGAGTTATGGGGCCTCCTCGTCCCCAGAGACCCCTCTCAGACCGCCTCTCCCACAGAGCAGCTGCCTCCTGTGGCCCCTGCTGGCTCCCCGCTAGCACCCACCGGCTGTTCCGCAGTCCAGGAAGGCGGCTCGGCCTGGAGGGCCTGCACCAGCTGGGCCTTTCGCACAGCACCCACCAGGATCTGCGACTCTGAACGAGGGGAGCAAGGAAGAGGAAGAGAGCGAGCAGCGTTATAAAGAAGGGACCCATTTCCAGAGCACTGACGGCCTGCAGAGTTGTGCTGGTGGGTGGGTGGGGGATTTTTTCACATGCCAGCCAGAAGCCTCCTGGCAGCCATCAAGGTCAGGAACTGGGCCCATCATTTCCCAGCAGGGGAGAGGCCCAGGGATGCGAGTCCTCATTCCCCCTCCCCAGGGAAGATGGTGACCAATTCCCAGCTGCTGTTCACCCTCTCCGGTAGACAGGCCAGCCACCTGCTCTCACCTCCGTGTTTCCAATGAGGAGATGGAGAGAGATGGAGGCGACTTGCCCAAGGCTATGCAGGCTCTAAGTCCCAGGGCCTGGTTTCAGATTCAGGTCTGCCTGGCAGCATCAGTGGCCAGCCTGCCCTTGCCTGGCCCAGGGCCTCTGGGCTCCCAAAGGAACCCTGAGAGAATGCCTCCCCTCCCCCCATCCCACTCCCCGCCAGCCCCATCCTCCCACCGCTGTCCACAGCTGGCACCTGTACTCTCCACCAGGGGGTACTGGGGTACGTCTGTGGAGGTCACGACCTTGACTACCTCCTCCAGCGCTGTGTCCTTGGCCAGCGTGGTGATGGCACGGTTCATGAAGTGCCCCACATTCACACAGTGGGAGCTGCAGGCAGAGGGAGCGGGTGAGGGGAGCAGAGAAGCTCTGCTGAAACTAGGGACCTGCTCTTCTTGCACATGTGGGTGGATAGAGGGGTTCCTGCAACCCCACCATGGGCAGGAACCTGGGGCCATCTTTCCTCATGGTCTGACTCTGGATTCAGCCTCCTGGGCACCTGGGCCCCCTGAGCAGCCACACGTTGCTGATGGTCTAACTGACTGCCCTGGAGGCATGTGTGTTCAGAAGGATTTTATGGCCAAAGGAGAACTTTGGCTGAAAACCACGGCCGTCACTCTCCCCGTCGAGCAGATAAGAAGTGGGCTGCGGAACAAGGCAGCAGCTTGCACGGACTTGAACCTGGGTCCCAGACCAGGGACTCACAGAGCCTCTTAGTTCTGTTTTTCCTGGGACGGACACCACCCAGGTCCTGTCCAGTCAAGTCAGGCCCTCTAAGTCCATTCCCTTCCTCCAGCTCCCAGCCTCCCTTCAACACAACAGAACAGCGGGGCTCTGAAGCCAGATCCGATGCTGATTGGTAAGGCCCTGGGCAAGACACCACACCTCTCTGAGCTCCAACTCCCTCACCCAACAAATCTAGTGAAAGTGTAACCCCAACGTGCTGCAAATTAGGTTCACAAGCTTGACAGCTACCAGAAAGTCCCAAGTTCAAGTCTTTCCAGAGGCACCCTGGGGAATAGGCCTGGCACCTGTTTTGAAAGACCAGGCATTGAAAACTCTGTGAAGCATAGTTCTGACATGCCCAGAGCTGCCCTGGGCTGGCATCTACTCAGTGGCAGGGGGGTGGTGATGGCAGCGTGAAGATGGACTGCCAAGTGCTCTCCTCAAGGCCCAGGGAGACCACGGCCTTGCCCAAAGCCATGTGGTGAAGACAAGCGGGCACCCCCATCCCCATGCCCTGGGCCAGCCTCCGGTGGGTATCTTGTGTGTCTTTGTAGAGAGGGAGCCATGCCCCCAGCAGCCTGCCCCAGACACCACCACCCTCCAGCCAGCCTGGGTCAGTTCACCTGATGGGGCGGCCCCGGATCTTCGGCAGGAAGGGCAACTTCTTGACGATAATGGTGCCTTCATAGAAGGAGGGCTGGCAGCTCTGGGTGATGGCATTGGCTGCCAGCACCGCCAATAGCACTGGCAGCGCGTGCACGATCTGGCCGGTCAGTTCAAAGGCCAGGATCGCCGTGGAGATGGTGTGTGTCACTGCTCCGGAGAAGGCTGCCGCCCCTGCAGGGGGCAGAACCCAGGGCGGCAGCTCAGGCTGGGTGGGCCACTTGGGAGGGCAAGATTGACAGCTTCCTGGCCATGGATTATGTTGGGAAGTCCCTTGACTGAGGCCACATGCTGGCCACTGCCCTAATGCTGGGCCCAAGTGAGTAGGGGGAGAGCAAAGGGCAAGGGAGGAGGGGTCAAGGTGGGGAGAGTGGAGCCAAGAGAGGGGCTGGGGGCTCCAGGGCAGGGGCTTGGGGAGAGGACAGGCAGGCTCAGGCCCCACCCTCATGGCATGCACAACTACAGTGGGTGCTCCAGGTTGAGCCTACTCAGCAGGGACCCAGCCACTCACCTGCCAAAGCATACCCCCCGGGGATGATAGGATAGGTGACCCCTCCAGCGATGATGCCCTTGGGGAAGGCAACAGAGAGGGCCTCCCCCAGGAGGCGCCCGATGGCAGCTCCTGCCAAAGACTTGAGCTAAGGAGGAGGGAGTTGGGCCAACCCAGCCCCCACAGCCTCTGTCCTCGGTGATCAGCCAAGGTACCACTCCAGGGAGGGAGGGAGTGGTCCAGGAGCCACTGCTGCAGACCTAAGACTCACCGAAGACGAATATGGGCAAGAAGTATCCAGCCGGCATGGGGATTGTGGTGGCCAGAATCAGCATCCAGAACTGTGGACCGGGGACAGTGTCCCAGAGAGAAAGAGGGTGTTCCAGCATGCTTTGCTTCTTCCCTCTCAAAGTTCCCTTGAAGGTAGGCATGGTAGACTACTCCCAATTTACAGATGAGGAAACTGAGGTCCAGAGACAGGCTAGGACCACACTCAGGTGGGCAGGGGTCAGCTCAGGGAACCTGGTGGAAGGTCCAGCCCTGGGCTGCATGCCATGCCCAGGCAGATCTGAGCTCTGGGCATGAGCCTCCTGAGAGACCCACCTTCATTACCAGGAAGAAGGCCAGGGTCCCAAAGATGGTGAAACGCGGGTGGTACCACTCAAACCACAGGTTCTGGGGGTCAGGCTCAGCGGGCCAGGTCGGGGACGAGTTCCGGGTGGCAAGTGCCCAGGAGTTGTTGTCGAACAGGGAGTCCAGATGCTCCTTCATGGAAAGCTGGGCCGGAGCCGGCGGGCATTCCACATGACAGCCCAGGCAGTGTCCAGCCCCCTCCCTGAGTGCTGCCCGTCTCAGAACCCGCTCTGACCCCTCCTGGCTCAGGGTCCTGGCAGGGTCTCTATGACTCCCTAAGGCCCAGCTCCCCAACTGAGCGACAGTGGCAGGCAGTTCATGAGAGTGGTGCGACCATTCCCCTGCCCCCACCCCAGTGCCCCTTACCCGAGAAGCCATGAAGCGCCCCACGCCAGGGGGGTAGGTGATGGAAGCAAGGATCAAGGCCACTAGGGCAGAGTACAATGGCTTGCTGGGGGGAAGAGGGGTACTGGGCTTCAATGACAGCCCTCCCCCAACATGGAGAGACAAACAGTCACACCAAGATCAGAGACTCCCCCCACCCCCCACCCCGGGGCCTACCAGCAAATCTGGATCCTGTGGGAGGAGGGTGGAGGCTGGGAGTAGAGAAAGAGGCATGTGATAGCACCTCCCCAGAGGGAAGAAGCATCCCCACCCCAGGACCAGGCCAGACTGGAGGAGAGCAGGTACAGGGCTGACCTGGGCTCAGGGGAGGGGAGAGGTGTTATTCAAGGGCTGGGGGCTCAGTGAGGGCAGTGGAGTTCAGTGAGGTGGGCAGTTACTGAGGGGGTGGAGACTGGGGAGGAGGCGGGGTTAAATGGGGAGTGGAGACTTGGGCCAAAGGTGGGGTTAAGTGAGGGGGTGGAGACTCATGGAGGAGGGGCGAAGTGAGGAGGTAGGAGTGGGACCTCAGGAACTTAGTGAGTGGGACTCCATGGGGAGAGGTTTGGGGGCTCCCTTGAGGAGGAGCTATGTGCCCGGGGCAATTGGAGTCTGGAGTGGCCCTAAGAGCCCCCACCCCTGCCCAGCCCCACCTGGTGGCCAGCAGCTTGGAGGTGAACCGATTGGTCCTGATGAAGCAGAGGAAGGTTCTCTGGCAGAAGAGGTAGGCACAGCTCAGGATGCCACAGATAACCCTGGGGGGTGAGGGGGGTGAGTCCAGCCCAGGCCCCTCCCCAGTGTCGGGGCCAGCTCTTCAGGCCTGGAGAGGCCTCCAAGTGGGCCCTCTAGTGGCCCGAAGCCCCCGATCGCCCCCCCCCCCCCAATGGAGTTGCTGTTGACTCATAGTGACCCTGTATAAGGTCCCGGAGGCAGTCAATCTTTGTGGAGTCAGACAGCCTCATTTTTCCCCTGGGTTTGAACCACTGACTCTGTGGTTTGGCCCAACGCTTATCCAACAGCACCACCGAGCTCCCCCACTCACCCTAGCACCACAAAAAAGAAGATCTCGGGCAGGTCGAAGGGGACGTCCACCCGGAAGCTGGTCTTGAAGAGGGAGGTGATGGTCTCTGAGGGGCCAGTGCAGAGGTCACGCGCTCGGTGCAGCATCATTAGACAGGGTACCGGTGGGGCAGGCCCTCCCCCTCATGCCATTTTCCTGGCACTCAAGCCCTACGGAGCCTGCCCCCTCCCTCCTGCATCCCTGCCCAGTGTCACCTCTTCTCCTCAGAGCCCCTCACCCTTCATGCTGAATAAAGGCTGCCCCCTTTCCTTTCTCCCTGCTAGCCGGCTCCGGCCCATGGCTCACCCTGCTCACTGTTGAAGACGGCCAGGAGCCGGAACATGAACGCGCCGCACGTGGCGGCGAAGAAGCAGCGCCAGTAATCCCAGACGGAGTAGTGGAAACACAGGACCTCAATGCTGAACAGGACGCCTGGGGCGAAGGAGAGCTCAGCCCTGCAGTCCCGGGGAGTGAGGCTGGGACCCCTGTGCCCAGTCTGGGTAGGGACTGTCACTAAATTCTCATGACAGCCTGGCCGAGAGGGACTGTCACTAACCCCACTGGTCCGAGGAAAGGAGAGGTGAGCTCCCGGGTCTACCCGTAGTTAGAGGATGGTCTCAAGTCCTCCCAACCGCCTTCCATCAGCCCTCGCACCCCTGCACCCCTGCACCAGGAACCACATGCCTCCCCCAGGCCCATCAGCCTGCAGAGCTGAGGGTCTGGCCACACCCTTGGGGGGGTGGGGGGGGGACGACTCACCGCTGAAGGGCGCCGCGAAGACCGTGGCCACGCCCACCGCCGCTGCAGCCACCAGCATCTCCTTCTGCTTGCCCCTGTTCTGGGGACCCGACGCCTGACCTCAGAGCCGGCCCTGCCTCTGCCTGCCTCTCGCATGCACTGGCTGGTAGGGACCCCATTCCTCAAAGGGGGCATTCACCCAGCACCCCTTACCTCAGACTCCCGGGTGGCCTTGGTGCGTACGCGGCTCAGGTAAGCTGCAATCATCACAGACAGGTGCACGAAGGGGCCCTGCAGGGGGGGGGGAGGTGTGAGTGCAGGGTGGGCACCTTGGGGGGAACCAGGGCCCCTGACTCCCCTTCAGGTCCAGGGTGTAAGGGGCCATCACCCAGGGCCAGTTGTGGCATGGCTGCCTACCACAGCCTCCTCCCCCAGCCCCTAATCCACAGCAGAGTCCTGAAGTGGCCATTGTCACACTCTGGGGACCCAGCCTGTTTCCTCCAAGTCTGAGAGTTCCTGAGGGCAGGGGCTGGCTGCGAGCTCTGAGCCAGGTCAGGGTGGGGTGCTGGGAGCCAGGGGGTTGGAGGGCAGCATAGCATGGGGTGGGATGGGCATGTTCACGGTGTCCGTACCACTTTGCCCAGGAAGATGGTACTGCCACTGGCCAGGGTGCAGGTGAGGCCTACCACCTTGGCCCCGAAGTTCTTGATATCCAGGTAGTCCTCTAAGATCACGCCAGACAAGATGGTTTTCAGCTCTGGGAGGCCAGAACCTAGGCAGGGCCGATGGGGATTGGAGCCGGGGCAAGAAAAGAGACCCTTTTCTACCGCTCCCCAAGTATGTTCACATCTGGAGTGGTCAGGTCCTCACAGGCCTGGGAGGTTCAGGTTCCAAACTCATATTGCCAGTGAGGAAGCAGAGGGCTGGAGAAGGACAGAGAGTTGTCTATCTGGGCCTGGCAGACAGCTGTGATGGGGTGGGTGGATGCAGGATGGGGCTCAGGCTTCCACTGGCTGCAACCCTGGCCCTCTCCCCTGCTACCCTGTAGCTGGAGGCCAAGCTGAAAGGCCTGGAAGAGCTGTGTCCCACCATTAGCCCCCCACCCCCCACCCCCAGGGATACCTTTGACATGGACCCTGCAGGGGGCCGGTCCTCTGTGTCACAGGCCAGAGGAGTCTCAGGAAGCAGGCAGAGACCCGGGAAACAGGATATCTGGCCTTCTTGCTGCTGTGTGACTCCGGCCAAGCAGCAGGACTGCTCTGAGCAGCTGTGAGATGGTCACTCTCGCTGCCTGGCCCACTGGGGGCCTGTGGGTCAGAAGCAAGGGCTTACCTCCGGAGAAAGGTGTGATGCTCTGGGAGAAGCCGGAGGAGAAGGAGACCAGGGCCATGGGGTACACAGTCCAGGAGAGATACCGGAGCAGGTGGCTGTCCCCAATCTCCCGGTACAGCCACTTGTGTGCTAGGGATGGCAGGGAGTCAGGGAGCCACCCACAGTCCCTGCAACCCCATACCCAACACCAGGAGGCTCCAAGAAGAGGGCCCCGGGCTCAGATGGGGAGGGGGGTCTCGGGACATTCAGGGTGCTCTCACTCAGGGAGCACAGCAGGAGACGGAGGCCCAGAGAGGAGCAGGCACTAACCAGGGTCACACAGCATGCCAAGAGCAAAGACAAAGGGAGCTGACAACTCAGGCTTCCTCCTTGTGCTGGCGAGTGTGCGCGTGTGCACACACACACACACACACACACACACACACCAGCCACGCCTGGTGGCGCATCTGGCATCCCCAAGAGTATGCCCGGAAACAGTCACCTCACCTCGGACCACACGCCCGATGGCAAAGTTCATGGCGTAGCTGATGAGGGCCATGAGCACCCCAAGAGTCATCAGGAGGTGCCAGTCCTCACCCCCACGGAACAGCTTCTGCCTCAGCCACTCCAGGCCAGCTGTGGGAGGGGTGTCAGGTCAGAGGTGGGGGCTGTGGGGCAGGTACAGCCCCTACCTGGAGCCTGGTCCCATTCTATAGGGCAAGCTATAGGGGCTCTACCTTGCTTAAGGAGCAGGGCAGGTTTGTGGCATGTGGAGCCGGCCTTTGCCTTACCACTCTCCCCACCCCCGACCCCCATGGTGTTGCTGGGACCATCTAGTTCACCCCCTCTGGGGGCTGCCACATGTGCAGGGCAGAACTGCTCCACGGAGGCTTTAAGCTGGTGGCCTTTCAGAAGCAGGTCCCCGGGCCTGGCCTCCCCGGTAGGTTTGAACCACCACCACTTCAGCCATGAGCCAAACGCTTAACTAATCATTGTGAAACCCAGAGACCACCCCCACCCTGGGCTGGTAGTCTCCCAGGAGCTGCAGCATACCAAGGATCCCTATCTTAGAGAGCTGGAGAGTGTAGCCAGACTCCGTAGTCCCATAACCCGTGAGGCTATCCCACAGGCCCTGCTGGGCCCCCAGGAATTGCCCCCTGCCCACTAGCTGCCAGCGCAGCCTGGGAGCTGGCCCTCACTGGTGGTGAGTTCCAGCCCCCAGGGCTGCACAGAGCCTTTCTGGGGCCCTTGTCTCTTCTGCCCCCAGCTAAGCAGGTGGCCCCACTCTCCAAGTGAACAATGCACTTGGGGATTCAAGGAAGAGTGCCAAGTCCAGGCTCCCCTAGCCTCCTGCTGTGGCACTATGGGGCCCCTTCCCTCGGGCCCCCTCCCGGGTGGCGCTGACTGAGCACCCAGGGGTGGGGTTTGGGACAGGGGCCTGGGTACAGAGTGGACACAGTGACCAGGCCTTGGCGTTGCATCTGCCAAAAGGGAGAAAGGAGACATCTGATGCATCCAACTCACAGACAGACAGATTCCTTCCTCCCAGGCTAATGCAAGGTGCCTGGGGACCGGAGGGGAGGAGGGGCAGTCCAGCTCTCACCTCGGATGCCTCTGCGGATTCGGGGACACGGGCTCCACAGCTCCCGTAGGGTCACGGGGTTCCCCGAGGACCCCTCATGCAGCCCCACCAGCTCTTCCATCAGGCCCCTGGTGAGCAGACAGAGGGACAGAGACCCTTCATGAGAGGTTCCCACACGTACCCTGCCCCCTGCCTCATCTAGTGCTGCTGCCTTCCAAAGAGAAAGGGCCTGGGGGAGCGTGGGGGGATCTGGGGACACCCCAAACACTGAGCAACATCACTGTGAGGTTTCCAGGTGTGCCTGATGTGCAGGTTAGGTGGTCCCCCCCACCAACTTGGTCACAAGTGGGGTCCCTGGCCTCCAGTCCCCTCCCACAGATGTGGTTCCCACCTCCCCGGTGATCAGCTGCGTCTACTGTTCAGAGCTGCCTCTGTCTGGGGCCAGTTCTCTCACTGTAGGCGGCTCTAACTCCCATGCCCACCCTGACACGCCCCTCCCCCCAGGCAGGCTGCAGAGGCAGGGAAACCTCAGATCTCAAAGGACCCCTGGGAAAGTGAAAGTGGGCTGTTGGCTCTCCTTCCTGCCCCCTCCTGCCTTGGCCTCGACAGACCCCTTCCAAGTCCCGGCCCCAGTTCCGTGCCCAGCAGCCCCTCACCTCTGCCAGTCCACCTTGCAGTGGCCCCGACCAGCTCTCCTTTGCCAGAGATTCCTGTGCCTCAGGCTTAGCTGCACCTGGACAGGTGTGCACTCCACCAATCAACACCCGCCCCGCCCCCGCCCTGGTTGACTGTGGTGATTACAAACGTCCTTGACAAATCACCCAGAACTGGCCAGGCCAGCTAAGTTGTGCAGGGCACAGAGCAGCTGGGAGGGCACAGGATGCAGGGATAGCCCTGCTCTTAGAAGCCAGCTGCCTGCAGGCCCCATGGTGCTGGGGAGCAGGGCTTGAGAGAAGAGCGCCCCCACCCCACCCCAAGACCATGAAGGTCATCTGCTGGGCAGAGGGCTGGGCTCTGGGCTCTGCGAGCTGGGTGTGAAAAAGCACATCGAGGGAGACCGTTCCCCCCAAGCAGAAGAAGGGACTTGGATTAAGGTAAAGGGGACTGGGAGCCCCCCACCCTTCTGTGTGTCAGGCCCTGTGGCCGGCCCCCCTCCCCCACCCCCAATCACAGGGTAGCTCACGAACACCCACTTATCCCTGGTTCCATCTTTTCTTAAAAAAGTGGAGGGTTGGGCTGGCACTGCAAGGCAGAGCCTGATTCCCACGCAGGTTTGCCCAGCTGCAACCCGGCACAGAGGCTCCGCTCCATGTCCCGGCCTGGGCAGCCACCACGTCCAGAGGCCACAGCGAGGCCAGTGAACTGGAGTAAGGGCAGGGGGTTAGGGCTGCCCGACCCTCTGAGGCCTCTCGAGGAGCCTGGACTTGATCCTCCTGTCTAGTCCGTTAGCCTCAGGGAAGCAAGCAAACAACTAATTTCCTTCTGGTTCACTCTGCCTTCCTGCCCCAATGAAACAAAGGAAACCCGTGCTTCATATGGCTTCCTTCCAATAGCTGGCTTCCAGGTGTCAGTCAACCAGGCCTTTCTTCCACAGCACCTCTGGGGGGATGAGAACCTCCAACCTTGCAGTTACAACCATCATGTTTAACGGCACCAGCCAGGAACTCGCCGTCTCTGAAAACTTCCACTCAGACTGCAACCCCAGGGGACAAGGCTCTGGCTTTGTCCCACCCCAGCAGAGTGGGCGACATGGTCAGGGAACAGGCACATGGCTGTCCATTTGCTTTACCCCTGTGAGTTCGGGAGGACGTCACTGCTTTGCAGCTAGCCAGTGGAGAATCAGAGAGGTGTGGTTAATCCTCTAAGGTCACACAGCAGAGCCCAGACCTGGACTGGGAGGTTTCTCCACTCCCCGAAGCTGCTCCAGCTCCCGAAGCTCCTCACACAGGCCAGTGGTTTAGAGACAGAGCAGAGGCTCAGTGTCTAGCACCTCCCTTGGGAGAGTTGGGCAAGAGATCCCCTGTCCACTCCCAACCACTATCCAATCCCTGTCGCCCCAGACAACGAATATGATGGCCCTTCAATGACTTGTCAAAATCCTGGAACCTGAGCCACCTCTTGCCCCTAGATGCCAGGCCAAGTCATCAATTAAAAATAGGAGCATGTGCACATGCGCACGTGTGTGTATGTGAGAGTGTGTGTGTGTGTGTGTGTGTGTGTGTGTGTTGTGGGATGGGATGGGATATGGACAGAGGACTTGCTGCCCTGTGTGGATCTGGGCCCACCCTTGCCCCGTCACCCCAGCCTGTGGGCTGTTTACAGTAACAGCATAGCTGGCTGTTGTGTGTTGACAGGCCAAACCCCAGCCTCTGGCCTCGGGCAGCCCACAGTCTGACAGCCAGCCTGGTTAGCCCGCAGGTACCACATGCCCACACCCTCACGCCCCTGCCCTGGGTGCACCAGGAAACGAGGGGAGGATGTCAAGGGCACGTGGGCCCCCGGACAAGCCTCCCCAGAGCTACTTCCCCATGCGTCTCTTCGGTGTGGAACACCCAGGAGGTGGCAGCAAGGGGAGAGCAAGCCTGGAGCCTCCTCCAGCTGGTCTTTCTCCACTCAGAACCTCAGTGTCCTCCTCTGTCCCTGGGGGAGCCTGGCAGCCAGGGGTAGGGGCCTGCATCTGCTCTAGTCCTCAGAGCCTACAGCAGTGCCTAGCACATACTACACGTTGGGTAGCTAACTGCTGAATGGCGAACGGTTTCTGGACACTGGCCGTGGGCTGGCTGCATGAGGAGCTGATGGAAAAACGCCCGGTCCTCTTCTAGAACCGCTCCATCAGGACCCCGGGGAGCAGGAGGAAGTATTCCCGCAGGTGAAGGAAGCCCTGGGAGGCTTGGGACCCAGCGGAATGGCTCATCTCTGAAGTGCCCTTAGCCCCTGTGACCTGAACGGAGACGCATGCCCGGTTACAGGGGAGCAGCTTTGAGGACCTTTCAAGGTCCCTCCTGGCCCTGAAACCCAGGGAACCCAGAATCTGTGCTGGCGAAGGCTCGGGATGGAGAGGGGGGAGGTGGGTGGCGTGGGTAATGGGATCTGACACCGGGGAGGGAGCTGTGACTCAGCCCCTCGGCACCATGACCGTGTGCCTGCATTTAACCATTGGCTCGTTTCCCTGGCTGCTGAGGCCCCCTCCTCTGCCCTCCTCCACCCTCACCCTCTTTCTATGGTTCCCCAACACAGGGATCTGCCTGACAGACCAGCTAGAACCCCCTTGGCTCAGGTGGGTGACACAGGCCAGGCAGGGGTCTCCACTGGAGGGTGGTAGGCACTTCCTGCTCCTGTCACCACCTTGATGCCCAGCTCAGTCTGTGCTCCATGCCCTGGTCTGTCCCTACTGTGTGGACTACCAGCCACGGTAACAGAGCCCCTAAGAACAGAGACCCATCCTGCACGCCATGGGTGCCAGAGGGAAGAGGGCAAGGCCCCACCTTTGGGTGCTTCCAGTCTAACAGGAAGACAGATGTCAGACAAGACAGGGGAGAGAGGACATGGCCAGGGGATACCAGAACTCAGGAAGACCATGCAACCCTGTGAGGGCTCAGGTTGGGCTTCTGGGCAGGGGCTCTCTGTGGCCAGAGCAATCCAGGAGGCCTACGTGGAAGAGGAGAACCTCCAGCTGACCTGAGAAACAAGGGCAGGACTTAGGGAGGAGAGTGGAGGCCTGGCACTGTGACCCTGGGAACAGTCCTCGAATGGTTTCGGCCCACCCAGATCAAGGCTTCCCTCAAGGGACTGTGAAGCAGGGGTGGGTGGAGGGGGCAGTGGGACATCACCCAGAAGGCCCTCAATGCCCAGAGCAAGAGCTCGGGAACCAACGCCCTAGCTTTGAACCCCAGCTCTGCCTGAAAGCCATGTAACCCCTGCACTGCTGTCTATAAAACACAGCCCTGCCCCCTCCCTCCGGAGCAGCGTGGGAACGGGATGGGGCCACGCTGTTGAGGAGCCCAGCCAAGGAGTGCAGCCTAGAAGCTCGGAAAGCTGAATGAGACCTACTAAGAGAGGTCTTCTTTCCCGAGAACTGAAAGTCCTCTGGCTGCAGTCTCTGGAGTCCCAGTCCTCCGAGAGGAAAGTTAGTGGACAGCATAGTGGTCTGGGAGCACCACCTTCCAGACCTTAAGAACAATTACCCTGCATGCTGCCCAGCCCCAGGCCTGCCTCAGGGGGTCCTGCATGTTCCAAGAGTCTGAGGAGAGAGCAAGTGTGGAATCTGTCCCCAGGGGACAGCTGTACATCCTGCGCCCCCTTCCCAAGGTGGGCTCCGACTTTCCTAAGAGGTGGGCCGTAAACACCGTGGGTCTGACGGAAGCAGCCTGCCACCTCACAGGGGAGCTGGCAGACATCAGGGTCCCCAGCCCACCCCACCCTGCAACTCCACCATCTCCTGCTCTTCCAGAGCCATTGAAGCCAGGTGATGGCGCGGGTCCCTCTGCCCTAATCCCCCACCACCCAGATCCCACCTTACTAAGGACTGGAACTCTGGGGCAGGGGAGGGGGCAGAAACTGGAAGTCCAAGTGCCTACAGTCCCACAGAGGGGCACAGCTCCCTCGGGGGAACTAGAGTCCAAGACACTGCATTTAGAGAGCTCCTGGCTGATGGAGGAGGCACAAGGCACAGAAATGGCCAGGTCCTTCCAGAGAGCAGTCCACCAAGCATCCAGGAGGGGGGG